GGGCTGCAAGTAAAGGGGTAAATCAATGTGATGGTACCGTTCTCACCATTGTTGTCCAACCCCAGCCAGCAGCCATGGTATATCACCATGAAGCATGACAATCAAATTAAAGATGACAATGATAATGCGTCTTCTATCTATGTACCTGATCGAATTCGATCAAAATCCATGGTCGGAGACTTGAGTTGTTTCCTTCTTCGCTACCATCTTATTTGGTTGTCCAGTCGTAAGCGGTAATATTCGCTCAGCGACATTCCAATGAGCGCATGGAACAGACTTTTGTGGCGAGAGGTAAGACTTTTGTGGCAATCTAAAAATAAATCTTTTTAAATCCTTCAAATTCCTTCGTGTGGAGTTGTCACTTGTCAGTTGTCAGGCTTCTGGGAATCAATCCAGGGTATAATCACACGTTCCTTTGGTAGAGTACTGCTGGTAAGTGCTATATTTTCTCTTCTGTCATTGCCAACTCATACCAAGTCACCAGTCGGTCGGCGGTCGCTAGTCCAAGAAGGAACCAAGAAGCCAACCAAGAGTCCAAGAGATTGGAAACACTTGTTCTTGACTCTACGGAGTAGAGGGAACAAAATGCATAGCAGGAGTAGCGGTATTAGATTATTTTTTGATCATAGCTACCTCTCTACAGTTCATATCAAATACGGAGCAGACATAAGAGATTATCTGATTGGCCGAGAGCAGTTCATCGATTTGGACATGAATGGTGGGTGCAGGTGGATGGATTAAAACTGTTGTGTTTTCTTAGGGGTCTGTCTGTTTCTTCCTTCCCGCTTGGTGATCGATTAATAAGTCCGGCATATGGGGTGAGACAGGTTGGAGGTCCTTTCTTAGTGGTCGGGTGTCTCCTTCGGCGTCTCCTTTGAGGGTCCCGTGCTTGTCTTGGGCGTATTTTATGACTTTTCATTTCCACAACAACACTTTTACCTTACACTGGGTAATTTCCTCTCGAAAGGACAGAAAAGTCAAGGGCTACTGGAAATGAAGGGTAGCGCCATGGAGTTTAAAAACCCATAGTAACGACTTGTGCTTGGAAATAATGGACTCTTAACTCTCGAGCAGGCAGAAGCCCCAGAATTGACTTTGGTGGCTGTGGGTCCTGCCACTAGGCCCTGTATGTATTGTAAATACAAAGGCTCTTGACTCCGGCTTATCAGCGGGCAATAATACCTTACCGTCCTGATTCGGTAGTTGAGACTTGTGAATGCACTGACTGTTCTCGAAATTTCGCCCTCAGATGATTCGGATGGTTGAGGTCATTGTCTCTTTCTTGAAGAAGTATGATCACAATTCTTGTCATCTTCGATCGGAAATCAAGATTATTCCATCGTCGGGTAATGGAATTGACCGAATGCGGGACCCTGTTCAGGGCCTTCAGGGTCAAGTTGACTCCAGATGACTTGAAGCTTGCTGTATGGAAACGGTGGGCTAGTATTGACACACTCACGGCTGGAGCATCTATACTCCAAGGTACAAGTTCGGTGGATTTTATGCATCCAGACAAGTGATAGTCGATCTAGGACCAATAATCTTCTGATGTCTCTAAACTATATTATTATTATCGACACTTATTAAATTCATTCTGTGCTTGTTTCGTTATTTAAAAATCGCCCCCCCGACTTCTGATCGCTTCTCCTTTTTCTCCTCTTGGTTTGACGGAAGATTATCACTACGCTTGGTACCACTTACTGATCCATTCGGAGACAAAAGTCGACAAAGAGCTCAAGAGGGGCAAAGGAAAAGCACCACACTCGTTTCTCTTATTCTTATTTGCTTCTCCCTCTTTTCCTCCTCTTGTTTCCCCCTTAAGTCTCCAGCGATTGCTGATTCCCCTCGTTGAAATCTACCGCGGCCTTTGGTTGATTGGTGCGTCATCTTGATTGCGCTCTGTATTCGCCAGCCTATTTGCATACTTCTCCATATCATCGCCCACTGTTCCACTCTGACCCTCACGGTTCTGGGTCTGGTTCAACTCTCACTCAACCTTTTGGTACGTTCCATGCATCAAAGATCCCAATAAAATATTGTAATCAGACGGGTTCTCTGTTCCTCCTTACTGATTCTTCTTCACAGTCCCCCATTCGTCCACCCTCCTGGTGATCTTTCTTTGTCTATACACATTTTATTCCCCAGTCTCTGTACATATCCATTCTCTTGTACAATATTCAGCCACCATGGTGCGCATCGGCTCTTCGATTCTCCTGGCCACTCTGGCTGCTACAACAGTCTCGGCTGCCTCCGACCCTCCAAATTGCAGCCAGGACTCCCACTGCCCTGAAGAATGGCCTTGCTGTTCTTGTAAGTTCAAGACTACCTAGTTGCTCAAACCTAGCCTAACCATTCATCTACCTCAGTGTACGGCCAGTGTGGTACGGGCGCTTACTGCTTGGGCGGGTGCGATCCTCTCATGTCCTTCTCTCTCGACTCTTGTACCCCTGAACCGGTTTGCCAGAGCAAGTCCTACAAGGACTGGTCGAACCTCGACAGTCTTGCTTCGAACTCCAAATACCTGGGCGATGCCAGCAAATCCGACTGGGTCTACAGCGGTTATCCCAAGGTTGAGGATGGAAACCTCCTGCTCACGATGCCCAAGAACAGCGTCGGCACTCTGATCGCAAACAACCACTACATTTGGTACGGCAAGATTTCGGCCAAGATCAAGAGCAGCCGTGGCGCTGGTGTGGTCACCGGTTTCATTCTGCTGTCTGACACTAAGGACGAAATCGACTACGAGTTCGTCGGTGCTGACCTGACCAATGTTCAGACTAACTACTACTTCCAGGGAGTTCTTGACTGTAAGTTCAACTGTGGATCCCGGACCATTTTTTTTTGCAGTTCAACTCACAGTCTTTTCTAGACAACCACGGCGGAAACGCATCCGTCCCTGGCGGTGACACCTTTGGCGCCTGGCACGAGTACACCATTGACTGGAAGCCCGAGGCCATCACCTGGTCTGTCGACGGTGTGGTGAAGAGAACTCTCAAAAAGGAATCCACCTACAACGAGACCAGCAAGCAATACATGTACCCTCAGACGCCCTCCAGAATGCAGCTGTCCCTGTGGCCCGCTGGTCAAGCCAGCAACGCCCCGGGTACCATTGCCTGGGCCGGCGGTGAGATCAACTGGGATAGCGAGGACATCAAGGACCCCGGTTACTACTACGCTACTTTTGGCGAAATCACCGTCGAATGCTACGACCCTCCCAGCGGTGCTGATATCAAGGGCAGCAAGGCATACATCTTCAAGGACAAGGCCGGTGTCGAAAGCTCCGTCCAAATCACCAACAACAACACCGTGCTCGCCTCCTTTGGTGCTACCGGACTTGACATGGACCTTGGCGCCAGCTCTTCCGCTTCGGGATCTGCGAACAAGACCAGCAGCGGCGCCAACACTGTCCCCTCTGGCAATGGTGGCTCTGGAAACGAGCCTGGCAATTCCCAGAGCGGTAGCAGCGGCTCCGGTACCAGCACCTCGGGCAGCTCTGGCAGCTCCACCGGATTCAGCCAGGGCAGCGAGACCTCTGCCACCAGCAACAAGAACGCTGCTCCGTCTCAGAACGAGCGAGTCCTGAATGGTTCCTTCTTCGCTGTTCTGGTTGCCGTTGTTGCTCTGGTCACCCTGTGAACGGGGTACTTGACACTTTCCACACTTTTTTCTTGGATATTCTTTCTTTATACTTTTCTTGCCCATGACTTGGATATTCCTGTGCAAGCCTTCTTCCCGTCATCTCGGCGCATGTCCTACTTCTTGCCCTATCCTTCTTGTTCTATTATACCTGGCGTTCCCCTCTCCCTCAAAAGCCGACCGGAACGCCTTTGATATACACTCGATTAACTAGTTCATTTTTTGACCCACCGTTTCTGATTCGGATGTTTCATGTTAAAGTAATGATGTGCGCATGGAACGACCCCGCGCCCACCTCGAGAGACCGGTCTCCACAGCGAGTCCGGCCTTTGGATATACATACACCTACGCATACGCATATGCATGTGCACATGTGCACCATTCTGCTAATACCCTCGGCCTGTGATGGAGGTTTATTTCACTCATGTTTCGACTATTATGATTGTCTCTGCATCTGTTGGTGTTTGACAGTGTAATACCCTAGTCAATGCATGATTGTTACATTAGAGTGTCCCTGAAGCTCTGTAGGCTCAGCATTCCTTTAGTGAACTCTGGCCAGTGACATAACTACAGGCTCTGTTCCTTCATCTCATGCTATTCCTACATACGTAGTAGAGTCTACCCCCCTCTCCCCATACAATCCTGCCCATGAACCACTCAATATCCCTCAACACCTCGCAATGCATTCACAGAAACTGTGGGTCAACACAGCAACGTACATCTCAACTGTAACTCCCACACTTCCACCTCTACATCTTCTGTCAGCTATACCTCCGTCTGTCCATGCATCAGTACTATCAAAACCGCTCTACTCCACAGAGTACTCAAACATCTAAAAATACAACAACTTCAGCTTATACCGAGCCCCAAAATACACATACACTCGACTTATCAACCAACAGTGGCCGTGGACTCGAATAAACAGATATAGCCGTTTCTACATGACTTCCTGTTGAATCTAAACAGGTACATACGACCACAGGGTGTGGAAAACAGGGCTTCCCGTCCGCTCAGCCGTACTTAAGCCACACGCCGGCCGGTTAGTAGTTGGGTGGGTGACCACCAGCGAATCCCGGCTGTTGTATGTCTTTCCTTTCATTTATTTTTGCTTCGTGTCTGCTTGTAGATAGGAATGGTCAGTCAGTGTGAGGTTCGATTTCCCTCGAGACGCCGATACGCTTGTTTTGGAGGCAATCCTGTTTGGTGGGAGGCGTCTATGGGTGGTCAGCAATGGAGAAAAAAGGCAACTGAACCCGATGGGGTGATTGGGATGGTTGCCACAAATAATGCCATTGATGCTTGATGATAGTATGTCCAAACGCCGTGGTCCTGAAGGAAATGATATATAACTCTGTTCAATCAAATCAGTGCATTCCTCCGCACCCGCACTCCCTCTTCTCCATGCCGTCCACATCCATAAAGCGTTTCCTGAACTCTCCGTGGTAGGTATCCAGGTCCTCGGTGCGGACGTTCTCGCCCAGGGGATCCCCTAGCCAGGCGAAGGGCCGGTCTACTTCACCGCTGGCGAACGACCAGGCGCTGGATGATTGTAGGTGCTTGGTGATGTTCTCCACGTCCAGGTCAAGGTAGTCTGCCATGAACTGGCCGATCTCGGTATTTTCGTGGTTCCCAACCAGGGGCCAGGCGTCTTTAGAAGAGGATGCATAGATGTTGACGTCCACACCTGCGACAGTTAGCCGATCTCCACTGCTCCATGTTATAGAGGCTGGTACTTACCAGAGTGGCCGTGGGTTGACCAGCCAATCTGTGCTCTTCGACTGATAATGTCGGCAAACTGATACTGCGAGCTTATCGGAGAATTTGGATCGAGGATAGAATCGATCTCCTCGTCTGTGGCATCGGTAATACCTAGACCCTTCTCCAAGAGCTCTCGAACATAACGTTGCTGATTGTTCTTTTTCGTCTCCGTGGAGAGAAACTCCCGAAGCTTGTTGTCAATGAATTCGGTGGAATGGCTGGCGTTGGCCAGAACCCCCGGGAGCCATTTGTACTCGGGGTAGGTGCTATGCAGCTGCCGAGCGGCAGCCAGGCCACCTGTTTCATGGTCAGATGTGCTAACCACAACACCGGGCGTCGAGTCTTTCTCAAGGAAGTCCAACACTGCAGCGAATGCCTTATCGTACGCAATAACCTCGTGGACCTGCGCTGCGGGATCATTGCCGTGTCCGGCATGATCAATACGAGAACCTTCGATCATCAAGAAGAACCCCTGCTCACTATCAGCGGTAGCGTCGCTGAGTATCCTAAGTGCAGCGCGGGCCATCTCTTCCAGAGACGGGTAGACGTCGTTCTGATTACGACGGTCGATCTCAAACGGAATGTCCTTCTCCGCGAACAGACCCAGGAGGGGTAGCTTGGCTTCCGATCCGCCATTTAGTGAGTCAAACCCCTTCCGATCATCAAGATAGCTGAATCCCTTCTCCTTTGCGACGCTGACCAAGTCGCGATCGTCTGCCCGGCAGCTCCCATCGGTCGAATTAGGCAGGAAATGGCAACGACCACCACCGAAGATAAGATCGACCACGCGTCCGAGCGGGTGCTCACCAATTTCCTGCTCGGCGATCCGGTCTTCGTATTGTCGCATGTTAACGTGCGAAGCAAAACAAGCAGGGGTGGCATCGGTGATCCGAGTCGTCACAACAAGTCCGGTCTTGTAGCCAGCCAACGACGCAGCCTCGAGGACGGTTCCACAGGGAGAATGATCCGGAAGCACAGAGATGGCACCATTGTAGCTCTTAAAGCCGCAAGAAAAAGCTGTCGCACCGGCAGCCGAATCCGTTACCAGACTAGAACTCGACCTCGTCCTCGAAGTTCCAATGATGTGGCCGTCCAGCACCAAAATGTCGTCAATCGGCAATCCCTCGGCGAATTGTCTATAGCTTCTGGTCATGGTAAGACTGGTAGGGCCCATTCCGTCCGACACCATGAAGATCAGGTTGCGTTTGCCGGTCGGCTTCCCTCCCGGACCCCAGGGGGGTCTCGAGCCAATGTTCGGCTTGCTCGTTTCATGCTGGTAGACGACTGCGAGCACAATAACAGCAATTGTAGCTAGGAGCGCCCAGCTGAAGAGACCGACTTCTCGCCAAAAAGGCCAACTCCGCCGTTCCTGGGCTCGCCTCGTCCGCTCCCCGGTCAACAGTGCGTCCTCCTCTTCCGCATTCCGAATGGAGTTGTTCTCCGAGGAAGGGCGCGGAGCCAAAAGAGGCTCGTCTTGCGCCATACTAGCCAGGATATCGCAGGTCGAATTAGAGAGTGAAATCAGCGAAATTTATTTGATGCAGTGAATCATTTAACGAGTGCAAAGCGAGAAAGTGAGGAATCCTGAAGCTGGGGATCAGGAGTCCCTTGTGGCTGCAGCTGCATCGGGCTTGGCAGCTTATGGGACTAGGGATACGTCACGCGCTGATTCGCTTGATAAGCCGCGATGAGATAACCAACTTACAGTACTCTGTATTCCGTACATAAGGTACCTCTCGACTGTAGCTAGAATAGGATCCGAATTGCATCTAGGCACTGATTAGCTTCTGACGTTCTACGGTGATGAAGATGTACAATGAACTGTTAGGGGTGTATGTATTAAAAAATGTACAAATAGCGGACAGAATGGATGGGTATAACAGAAGCATCAATGACCGATTCCACTCAAATATAATCATCTAGTAGAAGAATGAGTCTTCTACTTGCCATTCCACCCGATAGGAATCATAGCTGCAGCAATCTCCGAAACGCCTCTCTCGGTCGCAAGCAGATTAAACTGCGCAGCCGCATTCCGAGTATCCAGCACCTCAACACGAATACCCAGGGAATTGATATGTCGTCTTGTTTCAGGAGACAAGGGAAACACCGAAGTCCCCATACCAATAAGCAGCAAGTCTAGCACACAAAGAAATCCAACATGGTCAGCACGTCTTTGGCAGAGTATCGGGGAAAAGTGCCGACTCACCAGGACGAGGCCACACAAGCCCCAGGAGCCCCCACGCCTGCTCGTCCACCTCAAACTGGCCCTTCTTATTCAACATGTCGGATTTCGTGCCCTCATTGACTTTCCAGGGCCTCCAGGCGAAAGCCTCCCCGCCAACGAGCAGCACACCATCTCCACCGGTAACTTTGACCCCACTATTCAGGTGGAATCCGGAATCAAGGCAGGCATCAATGGCGGTTGTCGGCGCGGGGATGTTACCTAGCACATTGAGCGCGGCAAAATCTGTCTGCGTGTCCTCCTTTGAAGGCGGGCCTCGGTCATGGCTGGTTGGCTTTGGCGTATGGGAGCGAGGGATCATTCGGGTCGGGCGGGCATGGTTGCTGTTGTCACGGCGGGAAGGCCCTAATAGAGCAGGTGGTCGTATGGCACAGCGGGATCGAGGGATAGTTGAGCAAAGACTGCCAGTATTGATGCCGGAGATGCTGGTGCGCAAGGCTCGGAGTAACTGGGGTGATGGAGGTTGCATCATCGAGGTCGAAATGATTCCGCGGGTGAGTGTAACGCAAAGACCCTGACTGTTGAATCCCTCTTGCAGCGATCGATGCTCGGTGGGATATCTGTAAATGATATCTGACGCTGATGGATTCAATGGAAAAGGATGCCCAGGAGTCGGAAAAGCTGTTGAGCTAGAATACTTAGTGCCTGGAATTTCAGGTCAACAACCCTGCATCCATACGAGGAGCGGTGATGTAAGCGGGCAAGCGGCAGCCAATCGAAGCCTGCGCAATGGCAATCCGCCCCAATGGGGACATATGAAGGCCTCAGGCGTCAAGCATATGACTGTTTCCTACGGAAAATCGCGTTTATGAATTCCAGGAGTAAAGCTGCCAAAGAAGCCGTTCTGGCGATGTAATTAGATTAGGTAGTCTATGTTCTTGCTATCCAAGCATTGAACCCTTTTTATTCCACCTGTGCTGCAAAGTAAAGACCAGGCATTTACAAAATCCCAGAAACTTCTTGCCATCTCATAAACCACTCGGAACGCCAATAAACACGATAGTAGGACGGCGAGACAGCACAGAAAGGCAGAAAATCAGTCGGAAAACCCGAGAATGGTATCTCATCACTCCGTCAACTCTATAATGACAAACGAAATAGTATGAACTGTTTCTTTACCCGAGAAGAATAAAGACGGGGGTGGATGACGCTGTAACCGTTTTCGTACTCTACCCTTTCTGGCTATCATCCGAAGATTTGCCGGAATATTGACCCTGCGCTGGCCGAGCTGTGGCCGGATGATCTTTGCCGTTGCGATCCTCATCAGACTGGCTGGAGCTGTCGTCTCCAACAGCAGTCGTAGATGCACTTCGCAGACGCTGAGCGCGATCTTGAAGGACCTGTGCTTCTGCGGCAGCGCGCTGGGCACGAATCTGTTTGCGCCACATGCTAGCATACCGGCCTTTCATAACCAGTAGCTGATCATGCGTGCCACTTTCTGCGACCCTACCCTCGTGCAAGACCAAGATGCGATCCGCTGTGGTAATAGTACTAAGGCGGTGAGCTATGACGAGCATGGTGCGGCCACGGGAAAGAGTCGATAGCGCGCCTTGGATGTGCTCTTCGGTCTCTGTATCCAGTGCGGCCGTCGCCTCATCCAAGAGGATGATCCGGGGATTTTTCAAGATGGTTCGAGCAATCGCCACCCGCTGTTTCTCTCCTCCACTGAGTCGGAGACCACGCTCGCCCACCTTGGTGTTGTAGCCATCAGGAAAAGACATGATTTTATCATGAATGCTGGCAGCGCGACAAGCCTCGTATACTTCCTCATCCGTGGCGTTCTGGTTGGCATATTTCAGATTGTACATCAATGTTTCGTTAAAAAGGACCGTGTCTTGCGGCACAACTCCGATGTGTCTTCGGAGCGAATCAATCGTAATTTCCTCCACATCGTGTCCGTCGATTCGGATGTGTCCATTTCTCGCATTGTAGAATCGAAACAGGAGACGGAAGACGGTTGACTTGCCACCGCCTGACTCGCCAACGAGTGCTGTGGTTGTGCCCGGTTCGCAGTGGAACGTAAGGCCATTAAGCGCAGGCTTGCGGGTATCGTACGCAAACTCAACGTCCTCGAACTTAATGTCACCTTTGCATACAGCCAGAGGCATTGCGCCAGGCTTATCAACCACAGTGGGCTGCTCCCTGAATAATTCTAGCATTCGCTCGGAGTTAATCAAGGCCGATTGGATTGAGCGGTAAAAGGTGCCGAAAAAGTTGAGAGGCCCTTGAAGCTGTGCCATGTATGTGAGAAGGGAGACAAATTGGCCGACATCCCGCTGGCCGAGAGAGACTTGATAGGCGGCAATGAAACATGCGATCAGTAAACCCAGCATGAAGACGGTATTCTGCGACGTATTCATCAAGGTCAAAGAGAAGAGAACATGATATTCGGCTTTTTGATAGTCCGAAACGGCGCCCCGATATCGATTAAATTCGTAGTCCTCTGCGTTGAAATACTTGACGGTCTCATATGAGACCATAGAATCGTTCCTGATCCACCATGTCAGCCTTCAGATTTCCGCCTGATATTTTATGGGCAATACTTACTTCACAGCATCCTCTTGCCTCGACGCGTTCACCATCTGTCGTCTGATCTCCGCTCTCCACTGGGCCATGCGTACGGTAACATAAAGGTAGCAGAAGGTGACGATAGTAACGACGAGTGCATAATAAGCGTCAAGCGCAATAAGCAAGTATCCGATGGCGACACAGAGATCTACCAGCATTGGCACAACCTGAAAAGTAACCTGTTCCAGGAAGGTATTGATAGAGCTGCCTTTGCTCAGGGCAGATAGCACCTCACCGGTTTTCTTTCCCAAGTGGAAATCGAGACTGAGACCGTGCACGTGTTCAAAGGCAGCCGTCGATAGCTCCATGTAAGAATACTGGCTCACTGGGATCCATAGGCTAGACCGCAGCGAACCAATCAAGCCCTGATTGCCTTGTAGCCACCGATAAAGAATGTAGAGACAGATTTCAAACCACGGGACACGGAAGTCACCATCCGTTTTCGACAAGAAGTTGGTTATCACTCCCACCTGATAGGGAACCAGAACATTGACGACACGTTGGAGAACAATCAGCACGAAACAGATGATCACAATGACCTGCAGTTGACGAGACTTGGAAGGCCACAGGTAAGGAAAGAATAAAGAATAGCCGCTGAGATATTCCCACCAGCTGGTTGAAGGAACTGTGGTGGGACGGACCCATGGATCGGTCGGTTTGGAAGGCTGCTGGTTTCCTTGAGAAGCATGAGTCGAGCCGTAAGCCGTGCCATTAGTGCCATTAGTGCCTGTTTCTGCGTGCGCGGGATCGAGCAATCCTGTCGACTCGGTTGGGCCATCGGTCTGATCTCGGGCTGCCTTCCGTGCACTAGTCCTCGCACTGATCGAGCAGAACAAGTAGATTATAACCAAGCTCGCCAAAATGAGTACTCTTATACAATTTGAAACGACCTCCATTGACTCCCACCCCGTCATGCCCTGCCGTAGTCGACCACCAGAAGGGTTCCCTACCACGGGTTCATGGTGAACGGTGGAGTAGATCGAAAGGGAGGCCCCCACAATAGCCAATTCGAAAGGGATTGCGACAATCCATGGAATGAGCTGGGTTGAGGACGGAGAGGGTTTACTGTCTAACAGAGAGACGAGGATTACCGCGTAAACGAAAAATGACCCCACAACGTAGATCTAACATATCTATCAGCCGCTGGGTCGACAAATCGAAGCATCAGTCGTTCAAGTCTCAAGTTGTCTGACTTACCACCACAGCCTGGCCACACCACCAGTGCTCCGATCTGGCAACCATAACATGAGCCACGTTGATGGCGGCATCGGCAACCAAAGTGACGAGCACACCAGCCGAGAGCCACTTGAAAAGCAGCTTTGCGCTCTGAGAGAACTTCTGTGTTTCTTTCACAACGACCATTGTGCTTCTTGACCGCTTCGGTAGAGGTCGTCCACCCGGTCCTGTGCACACTGCATTGCGATTTTGGGTCACAGTTCTAGCAGTGCGGATGGAGTTGGTCACAAAGGCCACGACAAAAACAATAAGGAGTATAATTGGGGAGGCCGTGCGAAGATACGCCAACAGCTCACGCGTTCCATGATGAGAAGCCATCATGATCGATCCTCCACGCAATATCCGACACAATCACACGCTCATCAAAACGTTTCCATGACACAATTGCCGTATTATTCCGTCTTGCCCGAGGGATACGAAAAAGAAGCGGTAGGGAC